ACACCTTCGTGGAAGTGGGCGTGAACACCAGTGACCCTACATTCCTGGGACCAATTTCGACTCTCAGAAGTTCCAACCTTGTGAGCACACTGAATTTACAGTTCACCTCTTCAGAGAGAGGATATTTCAGCAAACAGATTTGTTCTTTGTAGCCCTTAAAAATCTATCACTCATTTAAGACTGCACAAAAATATACAGATCTAGCTAAAATAATAAATGCCCGTAGTCATTTTCCTGCTTCCATTTACTCGTTTCTATTAAGTATTCTTTGGCTCAGGTCAAACTTGTCTAAAATGTCCAAAATGCCTCTTGCTGTGCACATTCTGCTCAGTCATGGAAGTTAGTCTGTCTCTTGTACAGCCAACTTGTGCTTCTGATCATCTGAACATTGTTCCTTTCTCTTCTCTGCTTCTTCTTCCTTGTTTTCCACATGCTTACAGAGAGCAAGAGAGAAGCCCTTGTTTTCTCATTTGCATTCCCTTTATAAAGTGACCTTTGAATCTGCTAATCCATTGATGTAAATTTGACATCAAGTGATCTGATGCTTAGTTGCTTGCTCCCCACCTGTCTCTGAGATTCATATCTAAAACATTAGTTTGCTCTAGGTGTTAGTCATTACTTTGTCCAAGGGCTCCCCTCCTATTGTTTAATTTCCCTCTAAAATTTAATATCCCTCTATTGTTAGCCCTATACCCAATACTAGAACTTCTTCTGTTCTCTGCTGTAGCCTTTATATCATCATTATGGCAGTAAAAGACAGCAGGAAATAAAACCAACCTCCATAGTCAAACTGGAATTTGTAGCCTGATAGATGTGTACACAGAGAATCCTTAACACCAACAGAATGTATAAGCTGTGCAGAGACAGAACGTGCAAATCATTCTGTTCTCTAATCTGAAAACAAATAACATCTTGCATTCTAAATTTGAAAGTGGTCCTGTGTGTGTGTGTATTGTCTGTATATTTATATATTATGGTAGCAGGCCTGCAAACATTGATCTTGGATCTCAATAATTTGTGAAGCTACTCTGCAGAAGCATTTACAGATTTGCAGACAGGTGTTGGGGGGAGCCTTTCAAGAATCATGATTTCTTTTTTTAACTGTTTCATATTTTAAACACTTTGGTTTGACATCGTGTTTTTGGCTTTGTGAGCCAGTGTGGTATTCCGGGGCATGCTTTGATCCAAGGAGGGGTCACTACACAAAGTGCGTGGATTAGCTGAAGACACAGTTGTAGTGTGACTCCCGTGTGACAGGGGTTGTGTGACAGGGCTTGTGTAGCATTGATCAGAGGAAGGGTCGCCACATTCCCAGGATTTAGTACACCCATTGCAGAGATGTCTGTCATGGATAGCTCAGTTGTTGAGGTTGTGGAGAGACAGCCTTTTATAGAAGCAAACCAAACCTTGGCTGGCATGGTTCCCTTGCTTTACAGGCAGGTTAGGTTGTTGTATCATGTCTTGTGTCTGGGTTGACAGTAGTTTTATGTAGAGTTTATATTACAGATTGTATAGGGTGGTTTAGATAGGGATGATCCTGCCTCAAGCAGGGGTCTGGACTAGATGACCTCTGGAGGTCCCTTCCACCCTCTTTATGATTTTATTGGAGGCATAGTTCTCATGCAGTCTGAAAACAGAATACAGAACAGGTAGGTGTCTTACATACCTCCCACCCGTATGGAATCAGAGGTGAGAGGAATTCTAGATTATAGCCTCAATCCTTGAAAGACAGCAAAAAAGAGATCCCAGCATACTGGAACTTGTGAAGTGGCCTTCACTTGTAACAAGAAGCCCCCTTTTTGCCTGCTCCAATACCATGAAGCCCCCCACTCCACATAGCAAAGGCTTCTTGCCTGCACTGCCAGTCCCTCCTTGGGGTATTTCTCTTTCTTCTCTGTTTTCTTCCTTCCTCCCTTCTCTTCTTTCTTTTCACTATAAGGATAAGGATATGGAATTATTTAGGTATTCTATAAAATAGATGCTTTATGAAATCACATTTGATAAGGGCTTATATAGATATAGTATGGTATTGTGTATTTGTATTTTTCCCCTCATCGTATTTGGTATTCTATCTATTGTATGTGTCATGGCATTTCACCTTTTATATTTTATGCTTTCAACTTTGTAACAAATGTATTTTATTTTTTTTAGAAGTAAGTTGCATGCTGTGACAGTAGTAGCAAGTGTGGGAATGAACTACCCTCTCTATGTATCGGGGCTGATCTCTGTATGAATGGGGGTGGGTGGGTGGGTGAAGGAAAGCAGCTAGCTACAATAACGAGTTAACAAGCATGGATTAACACCTACAAAACCACAGACTGACAAGAGGAAAGGATCAATACAGAGTCCAGAACTCCCTGAAACTTCATTGTTAAAGGAACAGAAGCCCCCATTTGAGTTAATAAATGTGGAAGACCAGCTATTGGGACTGAATACGTTCCGATCAGCCGCTTTCAGGGCCCGGACAATGCCAAAAACTAAATTAATCAAAATCACCAATGGACACTCGGAACTGCATGTACCAATGAATGTGACCCCGGGGGCTGACAGCTGTCCCCTGGCAGCTGCCCAGGGGATGTCCCACAAGGGTCAGGAGCCCCTGGATCGGGCAAATTTGAATACTGGGGGGAGCACAGGAGTCTGCCAGGGGAGGATAGGAAGCTGTGAAGCGTAACCCTCGGTGGCACCCTCTTGACCTGACCAACACTCTACCCATCCAGCCAAAAAGACCAGCTGGCAACCCCCTTCTGGAAACAACAACACTTGGAGGAAACCTCGACTGGCCATCGATGGCAGACTCTAATGCTTAGGATTGAAAACTGGCCTGGCACAGGGGCAATGGTAATGACAGGGACAGAGGTTTGTTAGGCCTCTGCTGTGCCAGGGGCCTATGATTGACTTGCACTTAAAAGGGGTTAATCCCTCAGAATATTGGCCTGTGGCCCAGCCCCACCCGGAGGCCCACTATTCTTAATGGCAAACACCAAGTAAGGGTTAATAACCAATCTGTATCAGAAGTCAAAAGTAACAATAATCATAGCAGCACTTAACAGAAGGCTACATACAGAGAGCCATACCAGGTGGCAGCCAAAAGCACTGACACCCAGGCTGCAGGGGCCTGCTGTCTGGTCCCTGTCAGGCAGAGGATTTCTATCCTTTCCTCCACAAATGCAGTACTTGGAGACCTCAAAAGGGAAGGGTGATACTTTACCCGTCCGATGGGAAATTAAGGTGAGCATCTCAGATGAGAAGTCTGGTGTCCCCACACACAGCACTCAGCACCTGCACTCCCAATCTTCCCAACCTCTCCAGCAGGTTCAATACCATGCAAAACTCTTAGGCTCTCAGACTCAGCTCTCGCAGCTTCTCGGTGCATGCACTTTTCACCACATATGCACCCACACACACACCAACATACACACATACACAAGCACCCCCAAGATGGTGCCTCACGCTGGCTTTTGCAGTGGCTGCCTCACGCCACCTGCCAATCATACCATGGTCCAGTCACTGCTTGCACATCTCGATCAATCAAAGTCACTCAACAGTATCATTTTCTTGGACCACTCATATTCATTATCACTTCATAACTTATTAACATAAAGTTCCCACCCTTTTGTTATATAACAAGGTTTTAACTGCGCATGCCTCAGTTTTCTAAGTAAGTCATAGCCTCATCAAGGTCAGAAGTTTAGATGTTCCAGAGACTTCTAACCTCCAGCCATCCTACGCATGCGTAATCACTATTATGACTAGGCCAGGACTCGCACTGTTTACAGGATAGGTATACCTGACACCGGTGCTCTATTGCAGCTGCTACATCATAGTACTTAGGGTTGGAAGGGGCCTAAACAGATCATCAGGTTCAACCCCTTGCCCCAGGCAGCAATGGGCGCCGGGATCATACCACCCCAGCCAAATATCTGTCTAGCCTCCTCTTGAAGACCCCCAAGGTAGGAGACCACCTCACTTGGGAGCCCAGTCCAGACCCTGGCAGCCCTAACTGTAAAGTAATGTCTCCTGATGTCCAGCCTGAACCTTCTCTTTAACAATTTGTGGCCGTTATTCCTCTTAACCCCGGGTGGTGCCTGTGGGAACAGAGCCTCCCCCACTTCCTGCTGGTCCCCCCGATGAGTTTGTAAATGGCCACCAGATCCCCTCTCAGCCTTCTCTAGTGGAGGCTGACTAGGTTCAGGCCCTTTAGCCTCTCTTTGTAGGGCCTGCCCTGCTGCCCCTTGACCGTGTGTGTGTGTGGTGGGATATTTGAGAGACAGTACCCCTCGTAATTTGAAGGTTTGCTTTATGGTTTTTGACTCTATCAATTTTGCACGTTCCATCTAATAAACCAGAATTTTAAGGATCCTGGGAGTTGGTCATTTGTAGCCAGCACACTTTATGGTTTCACAAGATGTGGTGGCCTGGGCTGGTATCACCTTAACTCTCCCTACCTTTTCCTTAAAATCTTGTGTAGTCATGGTTCACACTTTAAATTCTTTGAGGCTGAGGTATGTCATATTTTATGAAGTGCCTTGGAAAGTACTGTATAAATATCTAATTATAACTAAAAGCCCACTAACAAAATCTTAAATCCCTGCTGATGAAAATAAAGGGGGGAAAGCAGAGTCCCAAAAAAATCAAAATGTGGGGATTCAATTTAGTTGTCAAGCATGATTTTAACTCGGGATGAATGTTAACCCTTTGTAGGCTAAATGTGGCCCATGGGCTGCCAGTTGGACACCCCTGCTATGAAAGCTCATGTTTCTCCGAATGAATTAGTCCATAGTGGCACCCTACACTGTCTAGTATAATAGTGTAGTTACCTTCAAGTTTAAATGAGCCTTATGCTACTTTGTAAGGAGCTGGTAATGATTCAGAATGTCCTTTGCAATGTATGATCTTACAACAGCTTTGAAATTTTGTAGACAGTACTATTTGATTATGAAATGCAAATGTGCCTGTCTGCAGCCTACTGATGACTTCTACACATTTTCCTATGCTAGGTTTGGAGGAGATCAGCCAGTGTACATCAACATTATTAGAGATCCGGTCAACCGATTTTTATCCAACTATTTTTTTCGGCGATTTGGAGACTGGAGAGGGGAGCAGAATCACATGATCCGTACTCCAAGCATGAGACAAGAAGAAAGATATCTAGTAAGTTGCTTTAAGTTAAAGGTGTAACAAAATAGTTGTTATTCTCTATCCATTTGCCAATATTCAAACTAGATGCTTGAGAAATTGGAGAATAAGAATTTTCAGCCTCTCCTCAATCATTCTTAGCCTGAGGCTTTGTGTTAAATTGTTTGGCCTAGATTGTGGTCTGCTGTACTGCATAAGCTGCCTTGGTCAGGAATATAATTATATGATTATAGGTCATCTAACCTTTGGCAACATATAAATGCCATTGAAATTGGAGTTTTTTACACTGAGTTTAGTGGACATTTCTTTGTCATTTTGAATGATTCTACTTGCATTTTTCATGCTGTATCTCTAAATAGATACCGAGGTCAAATTGTTTGTCATGCCATTTTGCTAGAATGCCTCAGAAATTTGGATGAACCAAAACATTGAATTTTCTCACTGCAAAACAGTATGAACTAGATTAGCTAAATGTGTGTGGAGTCTTTCACAGCACTAATATAGGTCCAGTTCTTAATTTTATTGGCTTAGCTTTCTCTGTTGACCCTAAATGATACTACTGTTGAACTTTTGGTCTCTGCAAGAGCCTGGTGGTTATGTTCTGTTTTAATAGCAGAAGTATTGCTATAGTGCCTAAAAATTTTCTTGGTTGTGGCCCAGGACTTCATTGTGCACTGTTCACATGATGATACGGGATATGAGTGCAGCAGTCATTTGAAATGCAGAATGATCTATCTGATATGTTGTGTACCCATAGATAAACTCTCAACATGTAGCATGTAAATGCCAAAAAAGAAAAATAGCTGCAGTGAAATCATGGTCCCCCTTCTAGTCAATAGTAAAATTGTGTTTGATTTGAAGTGGGCCAGCCTTCACCCGTAATCGCTTACTACATGATGTCATTAGATATGTGTATAAAACAGTACGGTAATGAAAGGTCAGTATAAAACAGAAGTGAAATTTTGTAAGTCAGTGGAAATTTGAAGTTACTCTGCTTACCTAGCAACCAGAAATAAACCTAATCTTACTCCAGCACAATTCAGAAAGGCTGATTTCGACTCTTTCTAGTTCCAGTTTGTGGATATTAATTCTTATTGTGCGACTGTGATTGCCACAGCACTATCTTATGCTGTTTTGGAGGGGCAAGCAGGTAAATGAAGTATGAGGTACAGCCTTTATTTTTTCATACCACACCCCTGAATTATTACTCCACAGCACAATTCTAAAGCAACTGTTTCAATAAATAGGTCACGTGAACCTAAATAAAGTTGTTTTTCCCTATAGCTAAGCTACATTAGTTTTTTGGGCTCTGTTACTTTTATTACATGTCTGCTTAGGATACTTAAATGTCAGTTTATAAATTAGGTTCTATTGGGTTTTTTTGCACTTAGCCTTTTAAAATTTTATCACATCTGCTGTATAATTAAAACCTCATTTGAAAATGTGGCAAAGTGTTTCTGCATTTACTTTGTCGGGGATACAAAGAAGCCTCTGAGGCAGCTGGGTCAGTTTTGATGTCCTCATGCATGCCCTTGGAAGGCAGGCTAATAGCTTTTCATTGTGTGTGCAACGTGCGTGTGTTTGTGTTCCCTGGTGTGCACATGGGACAGAACAGTTTGGAAAAGTGTAGTTTTCTAGCGTTGTCACGTGTTCCCTTTAAACAAAATTATTAGCACACTTTGTACTTGATCCTGCAAGAATCCAAGTGTCCTCACCCCATTTACCTCATTTAAATGGGGGAGGTATGGTGATCAGCACCTTTCAAGACTGACTTCTTGAAAACAGATGGGTGTTTCATAGGGCTTTTTGCAGTTTAACCCATTCCTTAAGGCTTAAAATGGACTCAGTGCAAAAATGTTCAGCAGTTATGCTTCTTGAAGGCACTTTTACAGGGTTGAAACTTGTTCCTTTAAATATTAATAGCAGAATAGAAAATGTGACCTAATACCTTTGTTCTCTGGTAAGCGTACATGTGTCTTGTGTGTTGTTTGAGCCATACATACATATAGATGTAGAAGTTGTAACTTCAATGAAGAAAAAGTATTGCCTTCAGCTATTGTAATACAGGGGTCTGTAGCCTGGTGGTTTTGCTCAAAGGGCATTTTCCTCCTTCAGAGACAGCATCAGCACTTTCTAAAAATCAGTTTGCATTTTTCTGTTTGAGTCTTTGCTGCCCATTATTCCCTATTAGAAGCCCCTTTTGGATGCTATCCCCCTCCTTTTGGCAATCTTTGATTGTCAGGTGTCTCACTCAAAGAGGGCTGTTGTTCAGCTCTGAGGAAAGTATAGTCCAGCTGCCAGTGAAATTCATCTTTACAAAAGTCAGTCATTCAGAACGTTAGATTTGTTTGAAAATCTGTTACCAAAGATTATAGTATATAATTGTACCTTTATCTTTTCCTTTGCAGGGGAGAGAGATATGTAGACTTATATTTCTAGTTAATGGATTTCAATGATAGTTTTGCAATCTGCTCAGTCAGATGCTTTATCTAGCTGCAGACAAAATAAGCAACCCGTTTTACCACTGGAAATGCACCACTATTGCATTTAGTATACAGCTGATAGCTGAACTGGCTTCTGCCTGCAATCCTCTACAGTTCCTTCCTAAAGAGTGTCTCTAGATGAGAAGTAAGCCATCTAGGGTATATTAAAGAAGGTTTTTTTTATAGTGGAAGTGGAGTGAATCACAGGACAGTTTGCTTCTGGGTGATCTCCCATAAAGTGCTGTAAGTGTAAAATGGCTCATACCTCTGCAATGACAGCTGGAACCTAGCTCCTTCTCATACCTTTCCCCATCTTGATCAGTGATTCAAAACCAGTCTTTGCTCTGGAAATGGTCTTTTCCTATTCTGACACGCTGAAATGCAGGTGATGTGAATTACATTTTTCTTACATAATTCAAAGTGAGAGCCTAGTATTTTAGCAATACAGGTTAACACCCTTCCTAAGGGTTGACAGCCATCTTTGTATGTGTTAGCAGTTGCAATAAAGCTCTTTTGGAGCAAGATGTCTCTGTGCCTTTTTCTGCACTATGAGATAGCACAGGTATCACTCTAGATAGATAGGAAACCATATTCAAGAAAAAGCTAATTAAGTAGCTGCAAACTAGTTCATATTATTTTCCAGAAACAAGGCCCTCCCCATCACTTCATACTGGTGTTCCTAACATTAAATATTCAAGAATCATGAATCAGACCTTGAGAACTCATGAGACCTGACTTAAAAATCATGATAATTATGGGGTCCTTTTATTGCCTTCTAGGTTCTGAGCATTTGAGATTCTTTTTCTGTGAAAAGCTAAAAAGGATATGTTCAAAGATGGCTATCTGAAGTTAAGGAGATGAAGTCTGTTTTGGAGACCTACACCATTAGATCCAGTTGTCAGACATGATAAGCACCAATATTTCCACTGACTTTCAGTGGGTGCGTCTACATGAGTCATTTACTGTGGAGCTGCCTAAGTTCTTTATTCAGAAGCCAGATATGTAAAAGACAGGTTCTGCAATGTGAGCTTCCCCACACAGCATAGCCTTACCCGTGAAGACCACTGCCTCTGTTTAAGTGGGGTTTAATGCTAGTCACCTAAACAGATCAGACCCAGGCCTCTCTAAAGGTAAATAGCAGTGATGTTTTAGCATGGGTTACAGTATAGTGTGAAATGGTCTGAAAACACTAAGTCCATTTCAAGTATCATTTCAGATGTATTCGTTTGGAATGTTCCCTCCTCCTATTGCCATAAAATTACAGAAGCTGTTTTTGATCCATTTTAGTGAATATAATTTGTCTCAAGTGCTTTGGGCCTGGAAGCACTCAATCCAGCGGTGGTAAAGTAAATTCCCCATTCTCATCCTAGGTAAGGCAGTAGCTCTCAAAAGGAAATCCAGCCAACGAGTTGGGGATTTGGATTTGAGAGTTCAGAAGGGGAGAAGAGTTTCTCACAAGGAATACAAGCAATATAAACTACCATGAATATAATATTTTCTTGTATACAATGTGCACCAAAAAATAATACACACCTTGTTTTTGAAAGGCAGAATGAAGAAAAAAAGACTTCTCCTTGTAGAAATTGGGCTCGTCTACACTTGCATTAATGCGCCCTTTCTAATGTGCGTTAAATTTAGTACCTCCAATGTGAGGTACTAAATTAACGCACATTAGGCTGTGCTAATGCACAGTAGTGCATTTGCATGCTTTTTTAGTAACCCCTAATGCACAGTAGACTGAGCATTAGCATAATGTCACATTTCTTACGTGATGCTTTAATGCGCAGTAATATAGTCAACTGCTCATTAAAGTGCATGTGCAGACATGCCCACTAAGTAGCAGCAGCTGGGGAGCTGAACCTGCTCATTGTTCTATTCTCTGTGGTTCCTGTAGATTTTACTTTCAGTTTCAACAGGCAAGCCACAGAACCTGCTCTTACTCTATCTTTTGCGTATAATCAGACTCCAATTTCTAGCAGCTGGTTTTTGTTAAAAAAAAAACCAAAACAAAACACTCTGTTGTATTCAAGAAATCGCTGGATTTGAAGATATGCCCTTTTCTTCAAAATTGTTTTGTTTTTCCAAACATCTTGTTAATGGATGACTCAGTAGTGTCATTCAGAAACTGTTGACATCAATTACACCAGCAATGTGAGAAACTAAAGCAAAGAGATTTTTATCAGTTGACATTAGCATTATGCTTTTTAACAATTTTTTGATCTAGGACTCTGGGGTGAAATGCACAAAAATGAGTAAGGTGATGCAAACTGATGTCTTCTGGGTTTCAGGGAATAAAGGTGGTCCTGATTATGATCACATTGCATACAAATGCTTCTACAATTCCACTGACTTCAACTGAGACACTCTTGATTCATTCCAGTATGGGTTCCAAAACCCACTGAGTCAATGGCATAATTTCATACAAAAGGTCCAGAAGAGATGGATGTATCATGAAATGCAGATTCCAACAAAGGAAAAGATTTATATGTCAATCTTTCCCTTCCCATCCCCCAAGAAAGTACCATAAAAACG